ATTACTGGTCTCTTCCTGTCTGGAGCAAAGGAGAGTGAAGAAAACTGAAGACTCAAGGGAGCAGTTAGTCCAAAGGACTAATGGACCATATGAACCATAGCCTACCTGACCCTGAGACCAGAAGAACTTGATGGTGCCCCGCTACCACTACCGACAACTCTGACTGGGATCACAACAGAGGGTCCCAGACAGAGCAGGAGAAAAAAATGTAGAACAAAAAATTAAATTCATAGGAAAGACCAGACTTACTGATCTGACAGAGACTGGAGGAACCCCTGAGATTATTGCCCTAAGACAATAGTCTTCTGAACTGGAACTGAAGCCATTCCCAGAGACTTCCTTTCAACCAAATAATAGACAGGCCCATAAAATAAACAATAATACCTGAGAGGAATGTATCCCTTAGAACAATCAATTATACGAGATCAAAAGGACAACATTTTCCCAAAAGCAAAGATGAGAAGGTAGGAAAGGGTAGGTAGAAAATCCTGACAAAAGGAAATGGGAAGCCCAGGGTGGAAATGGGGAGACTGGCTGATCCATTGACGGGAATGCAACCAGTGTCATGGAACACTTCGTGTACAAACTATCGAATGGGAAACTAATTCGCTCTGTAAACTTTCACCTAAAGCACGATAAAAAAATTTAAAAAAAAAAAGAAAGAAAGAAGAGCAGATAAGTTAAGGTCTTCTCATTATTGATTAAGGTAATATATCTGGTTTTAGAAAGGGTAACCGTATCTAAATGGGACTGTCATGGCTTCTGCCTGCTACCTCAGTATAATTATAAATAGTACTTCCTTTCACTCTCAAAAACTGCCCAGTTTAGGTAATAAATTCTATGGTCACTCTAGCTTTAAATACCTAAAGAGCAGAAGTAGGAGAGTTGCTGTGTCATTACGCAGGTTCAGAAGCTCAGCTACCTTCTAACTAGGGATGAAATCAACCCTCACAAGGAATAACTAATTTGATGACTCTTAAAGGATTTGGTAAGAATAAAGTCACTATAGTATCATCTCTTTGAGCACCGTACCCATGACTTATTGGAATCTGTCTTCATCCCTAAAGTAGCCCTGTCATATCCCAGTCATTTACTGAATAAACTAGTTGGTTAGTTGATGGACATGAAATGTGACATAGCTCTTCCTTCTTAGATAACTACTGATACTACCATCACATAAGATAAATTATTATATAAATTCAGGGCTTAGATACTCTTCTTTCCTCTACACTTCTTACCAAAGGTATCAACAGATGTGCAGACAATTTATAACTTTGTTTTCTAGCACATTTACAAACGTCTAACAAGGATGCATATCCTCTAAAATTCAGGACAAGTCAATGACCATATTCAGAAGCTGAGACTCCAGGAGGTCACAGTGATCCAGTTCAGGGTGTTATTTCTCAACAGAGACAAAGCCATTTGTATTTCACCCTGCCAAACCGGCAACATTTCCAACACGGAATATCCATAATGCAGGAAATTCCAGTTCTAGGACGCAGACGTGAATGGCCTCATCTATTATTGTTAAATTGGATGTGTCAGAAAGTAGTTTTTTTCCTGTTGGAGGTAGACAGCACGGCATGTACACTGTGGTTCACAGAGGCAATAAAAGTGTATTGTTATTAGATCCCGAAAGTGGGTAGCGAGTCTGAAAACTTTCAGTTTGAGAGGATTATTTTTATTTTTATTTCTGATTTTGCATGAATGATTATTGTGCTCATACTTTAGGAATCACTGGAGAAAGTTTGTGGATACCCATTTTGAATAGCTTATAGCTTATTCAGGGAGTGCTCAAGTTCAATTAGGTTTGGTATTTGGGACACTTTTATGAGAAATAAGTGGATCTTTATCACTCTATGTTATCTTGAAAGTTTCCTAAAGTAATTAGGATTACCCAAATGATTTCCATTTTTGTTCATTTTATTCCCATGGCACCTTCAAACCTGGCTTTGTAAAAATGGAACTATCTTGCAAGTAGCCAGTAACACTATCAGTGAAAATGGAATTATCTTGCTAGTAGCCATTATGATTATATCAAAATTTGCTTGGTTAGAGACGAAAATCTTTCTCAGTTAAAGAGAAAATTTTCGGAACAGCAAAAGGATTTCCAGAAAAACTCCTTCAAAAAGTCTCTCATTCATCATTTTTGCCTTTAATTCCTTACACATAGTGAATGCTAAACATGTGTTACATTGAACTAAAATTAATATTGGTTTCTCTTGCATTGGCCAAAACTGAATGTGTGTATTTGGTTTGGTCTCTGTCTGCTTTGCTCTACCACCTTTTAAGAGCTGATACATATTCTATTTCCTTTTCCTTGACTTAGAGCCCTTAGTAAATAAAAGAATTTTTTTAAAGCAACTCTCATTTTAATTATAACCTTAGGATAAGCAAACATGATAGTTCCATTTAAAGGTTGTCTTCTACCCTCAGTCAAGGTGGATTTGGAATAGGTGGAATATCCCATGAACATCTCTTTTTCATTCCAGGGAGTATCTACTGAAAGCTTAATATTGCATGACTCTATGCTAGGCTCAGTGGGAGATACACAAATAAATAAGACACAGGCCATGCCCTCGAGTTTATAATTTATTAGAAGGGATTTACATATGCCTGAATACCTAAAGAGTGTCAATTATATTTTACCTAGTAAAAGGAATAATCTTTTTTTAAACTAGGAAAATTCAAAAATAAGAAATCATTAATTTCATTGAGAAGGATTTATAGAGATGTCATTTTGGAGACAGTCCTTGAAGAACGAGTTGAATTTTTTATTAAAATTTGAGAGAAAGGAACACCATAAGCAAAAGCTGGTTGCATATTTAACTAGATTTGGTCCGGATTACGTGTGAGTGTTGAAGGAAAGTGAGACATCACGAATAACTCTAAGATTTCTAGATTGGGTGAATGGGAGTAGAATGGGGAAATCATGATTATCCTTTTGTACAGTGAATTACATTTACCTGAGGGATATCCATCTGGAAGTATTAAGTAGACAATAAGAAACGTGGGCCTACAGAAATAAAAGGCAGCTATTATACAGAGACAAAAACTTGGAATTAGTTCAAGTATGAGCTCAAATGAGATGATGTATGGCAAGCTTAAGATCTCACACAGTGTCAACATTTAAAGGCTGGGCATGGGACATGGTGGGGTGGAAAAAAGGAAGAGATACAAACAGAAAGATAGAAGGAGAGCCAGGAGCATTTACTATCAGAGAAATCAAGAGAGAAGTGAATATCTTTGATGAGCTGGTTCTGTCCAATATTGTTAAATGTTGCAGACGTTTTATAGAAGGAGAGAAAGAAGATTCAAAGTCGTCAGTAAATTACTGAACTGCACTTTCTAAGCAGTCCTAATATGATGAACGGGTATTTTGTTGTTTTTCTAATTAGTCAGAGGGGAATAAATGTAAAATAAATATTATTATCATTATCAAACTCATCAGCATTATTTTTATGTCTTTTCAGTCCGAATGAATATCCCATACTGTGTTTCATTTAGATCAAGAGCTTATCCTTAAATTGGGTAAAAACTCTTACCAATTTTAGGAAATATATATATATGCCATAACTATAGGCTTGCACATTTTATTGCTTTATCATACATAGAGATGAACTCTAAGTGTGTGGCCATTTATGGAGATTGAGGGCAGACACTCATTTTGGGGTGGGCTGGATCCTTAGTCCCTAAATCATAGAATGAGGAGATTGGTGAACCTGATCTCTAAGTGACTTAGTTGACTTACTTGACTAAAATAAATTTTCATATTTGGATCAAATATTATGTACAAGTTTCTATTTCACTCTTTAATTGATTAAATATGGAAAAATTAGAAAGCCCAGGTTCAACTGGAATTTTATATGACCAAGAGCTGCTATGTGATGAGTGGAGGTGGAAGAGAAGCGGAGGATGATTTTCTAAGACTGTTTGCCATCTATCTTTCAGTGTTTCCCGTGACTGTATTATTTAGTTGCATTTTCATTTTTATGGTCTGAAACTTGAAAACAATTTCCAACAGTTCTTTTAAAAATAATTCAAAATGTGAAGCAACTCACGGAAAACAAATTTTTGTACGATTCTCTCAACATCTAGAGAAAATATCTTGTTCCCCTAATTTTCTTCAGCACAGAATGTTGTCCATTGGAGATGAAAGAAAAGTTGGGATTTGAACAGGCATTTCCTCCTGGTGAATTGCTGGCGTTCCTGAGTCCTTAACACTTAAACTCATGACATTACCTCTTTGGTACTTACCCACAGTCAGGTCTTGGGTGACATGAGAAGGCTCCATTAACTACTAGAATCATTCATTCAACAAATATTAAGCAAGCTAGTTAGTTGGGAGGCTTGAAAATGAATTAGATAGAAATTTTGCCCAAAAGGAGATAAAATGTAACACGATTGTTATAGTTGTCACTGAGTCATTTCCAACTCAAACTGTTTTAGAGGAGAATTCTAGCAAACATTTAACAAGCAGAGAATTTCCATCTTATAAAAACACTTCCAGAGACTAGGAAAAGAGGGGCTGCTCTCCTAATTTATTTCATAATATTAGTAAAGCCTTGACTCCAACACTATACAAAGATAGGATGAGAAAGGAAAATTGTATGCCAGTCTCAGTCATGAAAATAGAAGTAAATCTATCCTCAACTAAAGCATTAGAAAACAAAATGCTACACGTAAAAAGAGAAAATGAATCATTACTGGGTTGGGTGTATTCTAGGAATGCAAATCGAGTCAACATTAGAAAACCTAATAATAAAATTAATCACATTAACAGACCAAAGACAAAAAAACAACCCTGAAGAGTTATCTCAATAGAAACTGAAATAACAATTGATAAAATTTAACAACCAACCCAAGATAAACTTCTTAGCTAACTAGGACTAGAAGGGAATTTTCTCAGCCTGTTTAAGGGCAGCTACAACAAGTTAAAAAAAAACAAAAACCTACCACAAATTCATTACTCAATGATGAAATGTTAAAAGCATAAGTACCTTTAAAATCAGGAACAAGGCAAGATGCTCACTATCACCATTTCTATACAACTTCTGTGGAACTGAGTGTCCTAGTGAGTAATAAGGATATATATGTAAAGATATTGATGGCCTTTAAGCATATAAACATACACACACACACACACACACACACACACGTATACGTACGTATGTTTTTTTTTTAATATATATATATATATAGAGAGAGAGAGATATATATGGAGCCCTGGTAGCAAAGTGGTTAAGAGCTCAGGCTGCTAACCAAAAAAGGTCGGCAGTTTAAATCCACCAGCCACTCCTTGGAAACCCTATGGGGCAGTTCTACTCTGTCCTATAGGATCGCTATGAGTTGGAATGGACTCAGCGGCATACAACAACAACAACTAATACATATATATATACATATGTTAGAAAAAAAGTACAATTACAGAGGATATAGTTGCTTGCATAGAAATTCAAAATAATCTATAAAATATTATTAAAATTAATAGAATTTATATAGGTTGCCAGACATAAGATTAATATACAGAAATCAATTGCATTTGTATATACATATACCAACAGTTAGAAAATGCAATTACAGAATTACAGTATAACTTACATTAGCATCAAAAATGTAAGAAATCCAGAAAATAAGTCCAACAAAAATTTTGTAAGGACTTTATGTAGAAAAATACAAAACTTTATTAAATGACATTAAAGAACTCCAAACGGAGACATACTATCCTCATTTATTGGAAGATTTAACATTTTTAAAAATGACAAATATCCCCAAACTGATCTAGAGTCAATGCATTTCTAACCAAAATGCTAGCAGGACTTTTCATGATACCAAGCAAGCCAATTAAGTCACTTAAGTACAAAGTTCCAAGAATAGCCAAGATGTTCCGGAGAAAAATCAGGTAGGGAACTTGCCCTACCATATATAAGGATTGATTATAATCTATAATAATTAAAACAGCGAAGCACTGGCTCATGGCTAAGCCATTTGACCAACACATACAACAAATAACTCAGAAACAGACCCATGCAGCTATATGAACAAAGCTGGCATGGCAGTTTAGTAGGGAGAGCCCGGGTTAATTGGTAAATGGTATGGGGACAATTGTTTATTCATAAGGAAAATAAATGAAAACAGATAACTACTTCAGACTATCTATTAAAAAATTTGTATGGATTAAGCACTTAAATGTGAAAAGCAAAAGTTTAAAATTTTTAGAAGAAAACGTATGAGAATATCTTTTGGACTTTGGGTGGGGAAAGATTTCTCTAACACAAAGTGCAGACATACGAAAAACACAAAACCAACCAGAAAAAGAGAGAGAAATAGAACTATATAAAAGTAAGAATTTCTGTTAATCAAAACATTCCCAAAAGAGAATTTTACACAATAAGCCAAAAACTAGAAGGAAGATAGTTCCTCCTTATACAACTGACAAAAGATTGGTACTCATAAAAACCAAAAGCAAACCCATTTCCTAGGAGTTGATTCTGACTCATAGCGACCCTATGTACAACAGAACGAAACACTGCCTGGTCCTGTGCCATCCTCACAATTGTTGCTATGTTTAAGCCCATTGTTGCAGCCACTGTGTGTCAATCCATCCGGTTGAGGGTCTTACTCTTTTGCGCTGACCCTCTGGACTGAGCAGAGACTAAATGGCGGCCTGGCTCTTCGGGAAATTGCTCTTGGATTGGATTCAAGGCTGCCTGCGGATGTATCTTCCAAAGAGAAAGCTCTGTTGCTTTTCTGAAAACAACATGAGAGAAGATTAAGAAGAAGGGAGCAGCAGCAGAGGGCTTTATTATGCAAGTTTCATCCCATGCTCTACTCTGTGCAGGCCCTATGGGGCCAAAACATGGACTAAACAAATATCCTCACAAAATGTCAAAGTTTTATTGTTTCTAAATTCGTCTGGGAATTTGAAACTGCTTCTAAGTTCTATTGTCCTATCAGATGGATGGATGAATGCATGCCAGGCTTGGTGGGCGTTTTGAAGCTCCCACTCACCAAATCTTGGCAAGTTCCTGAAAGATGAAGGGAAAAGAGGGAGAGGGAGGGGTATCCTGTTGGTTGCTCCTGTTGTTCTCATTAGAGAGCTGACTGTGCATTTGCTTGTTGATCAATGAGACCAATGAGAGTAATTTTCTGAGCCTGAAAAAAATTTATGGTGACCAGGCTCTAGTTAATTGCTAGGGGAGCCCTGTAGGGCTGGCTGCCGCCTCTATTTTCTGTACTTTGTCCAAGGAAGGTTGCCCGTAAGGACCCATTACCACGTATTCCTCTGAGGTGTCCTATATTCTAGGGCCCAAATAGCATAATCTCTCTAGAAAGTTCCTGCTGGCTGCAAACCCATTGCCGTTGAGTCAAATTCTGACTCATAGCGACCCTGTAGGACAGAGTAGAACTGCTGAATAGGGTTTCCCAGGCTGTAAATCTTTACAGAAGCAGACTGCCACATCTTTCTCCTGTGGAGCAGCTGGTGGGACCAAACTGCTGATCCTTTGGTTAGCAACCAAGCGCTTAACCCCTGTGCCACCAGGGCTCCTTGTTGGCTGCAAGGGAACTGGAAAATCCTGGAAAAGTGATAGCTGTTTTATGGCCCTGACTCTGAATTTTAAGAAGTGTCAATTCATTTATAAGACAAGTTTTTGACCTGACCTCCAAGAGACACATTCCATAGCTACTTGTCTAGGACATCAGTGGGACACAAGCTCTGTCCCTTAGGTAAGCAGTCTATATTGTTAAATACACGGGCTCAGGGTCCAAAAGACCCACTCTGAAATCTCAGCTCTGTCACTTTCTAGCTGTGGGAACTTGGGTAAATTTCTTTACTTTTCTGAGTCTCAGTTTTCTTATCGGTAAAATGAGGGTAATAAGATATACCTTCAAGTTTGTGTGAGGATTAGCAATAGTGACTGAAAACACTTATCCAGTTCTTGGCAGAGGAGTCGGTATTTGTAAAAGTGGCTTGGGGGCCGTGTCTGACCTCTTCTAACTTCATGAGGGAGAAGGAGAATCAAGATCAACAGCAAAAGGCTGATTCCTATGAGGTGGAGGTCACAAATACAGCCTCTCTACGTCATCTTTACCAATTCTGACACCAACCATCCCTCCTCTGGCACTCTCTACTTCTCTGCTGGGTTAGATAATTCATTGCAGTGGCCACACAGAACTCACAGACTATACTCACATTTATGGGGTTTATTAGGGGAGTAACAAGTTGCAATTCAGATTCAGGAACACTTAGGATACAGTTCTTCCATCAGGACAGCCTCTTTCCAGCTGTGTTTGCAGGCACATCTCTTCCTGGTCTTCGGCCTCTGCCCAGAGGCACTCAGCTTTCTCTCTCCACAGTCTGTCTCCTGGGTCTAGGAGCTTCTCAGCACAGGGATCTTGGGTCCAAAGGACGTGCTGGCTTCTGCTGTTCTTCCTTGGTGGTAGTGGGATCCTCCCTCCCACCTCTGGGATGGCTCACCTCAAGTGCCTTGGGATGCCAAAATTGACCAATCCCTTTGGTGGGCCATAATTACCATATCACAGAGTCCCACTCAATCACTTCAGTGGGAGTTACAAGACCATGGCTAGAAAGGTCACAGAAAAGTATTCAATAAATGGTAGCTGCAATAATAATGGTTATTATTATTTTAAATAAACAATCTAGCACTGAGCCTGACAGCTAGCTAAGATTCAACATATATTAACATCCTTGATCTTCTCTTTCCTCCAAATCATATTTGAAAACCCAAGGACCTTAAAGTACCATAAACTTTGTAAATTCTTCTTTGTTTTGATGCAAAAATTTGTGTCATCTGCAAATAATGACATTTTTATTTCATTCTTCAAATCCTTTTAACTTTTTTTTTTTCTTGCTTTACCATTTGCACAGAAGCAGTGATACCGGGCATTTTTGTTTGTTCTTGATTTTAAGGAGAAAGGTATTAACATTTGGCATTGAGTATTATGTTTGCTGTCTGTCTTTTAGTAGCTACTCTTGAACAAGTTCAGGAAATTTGCATTCCTAATTAGCCACAATTTTTTATCATGAATGGTTGTTAGACTGCGTACCATTTTTTTCTACATTTATCAAAATGGTTATATCTTTGTTCACTGCAATTTTTAATATGATGGATTACATTAATATATTTTCTAATGTTTAACTCACCTTGCATTTTGGAAAACATCCAACTTGGTCATAATTTATTGCATTTTGTAATATACCGCTGGATTCGGTTGGCTAACATTTTCGTTTAGCATTTTTATATCTATGCTCATGAGTAAAACTGTCATGCAATTTCTCATCTGTCCTTTGTCTAGTTTCAGTATCAAGATTTTACTTGCCTCATGTAATGAGTTGTGAGAATACTCCTTTTTTATTAACTGAAATATTGGAATTACCTGTTCCTTGGTTAAACCTACCTCTAAAATGATTGAAATTGATGTTTTCCTTGTAGAAAATTTCAAAATTACTTTTTTAATGCCTTTAATAGCTACAACATCATTCAGACTTTTTATTTCTTATTGAGTCAGTTTGGATAATTTTCTTTTTTCTAGAAGTGTGTCTGTTTCATCTACTTTTTCTAATTTTTGGCATATAGGTCTTCAAAATATTCTTATCTTTTTACTAAGTGCAGAATCTGTGGTTATATTTTCTTTTTAATGTTCTTTATCATTTATCTCTTTTTTACCTTCAACATCTCTGTCAAAATATTGTCAATTTTATTAATCTTTTCAAAGATACAACCTTTGTCTTTGGCACTAGCAGGAATGCATTTGCTCACTTCTATGCCCCAGCACCAAGAATTGTCCCTGGCAGGTTGTAAGCCCTCAAAAAACATTTGTTGAATGGAAAAAGCATGAAAAAGAATGTGGCTAAAGACCAGGATCAGCAGAAAACAATAATTAACAAATATATGAATCTTTCCTTCAAAGAGAAAAAAGTAAATAATTGCTTAAGAGAGAGCACGTCCTTCAGTTGTTTATATCAATATTCAATATTTGCCTAAAAGGAAATATAGATCTTGAGAGATTTCAAAATCTTAATAATTTCCGTATGAGGTCTATTGGTTTTAATAAAGGTGGCTTTATTTTACACAGCACGTGATGATAGGCTCTGGCGTTAGAAACTAAAATGAGATCATAACTCATGAATTGGCTAATTTTTCTTCACTGCTGTAGGCATTATCAATATTTGATCTCATGACACGTAGTAATGATCCATCACTACATACATTTTCTAAACTAATGTTGCTGATGCGCTGGAAATAAAAGGACTGCATAAATGCGGAAATACAGAGGAAATGTTGAAAGGCCGATAAGCTTTGTTGATTTTGCTTAATGTAGTGCATTGGTTACAGGGTTGTGAAATAGAGAAGTGTGGGCTATTCTTTTTATTTTCAGGAAGAACTTTCTAGTGATCAGCAATTCCAATCCCTGCATCTGGGCTCTGAAACCAGATGGGATAAAGAGAGTTGAGAGAACAGTTTTCTGCACTTACCTTCTAAACATTTAATCCCTATATTTAATAGATTTCGGGTGCTATCTGAGTCCTTTCAAAGACAGGCTCAAAGTTGAAGGATCCATCTAAAGGCTATCCCAACAACCCAAGGTTGCGACAGTTAGGCAGCAATACTTGAGCACACATCACTTAACTTCTTTAGGTCTTAGTGTTTTCCTCTGTAAAGCAAAAGATAAACTGAATGGTCGTTAAATTTACTTCCTATTTGAAATGTGCATGTCAATATTAGTGCTAAGGAGCCCTGGTGCCCCAGTAGTTAAGAGCTCAGGTGCTAACCAGAAGGTCGGAGATTCAAACCCACCAGACACTCTGCGGGAGAAGGATGTGGCAGTCTTCTTCCATAATGATTTACAGCTTTGGAAACCCAATGGGAAGGTTCTACTCTGTCCTACAGGGTCGCTATCAACTCAACAGCAATGAGTTTCTACTGCAAGAAGATCAGGTCCCAGCACCACAGTGGTGCTAGCCACAGTCCAGGTTATAAACATGGAACTCATATCCTCAGGAAATGAGACCAGATAATAAGAGGCAAATTGCTTTCCTTGCACAAAACCAGCTATTCAATGAATGTTTGTTGCATTGGAACCTGAGAGTTGAACAAGACCCATGAAAAGCTCTGCCTTTTGTATCTAAAACTCTAGTGATGATTTCAAATATTGAAACCTATTGTTCACATAGGAGAATGTATCTTTGCCAAAGCACGTTTCATTTGTTGATTGAGAAAATCTGATAATCTTAGTTAGAATAGGGTCGGCAGGTGGCACAAATGGTTTGCACTTGTCTACTAACCCAAAGGTTGGCAGGTCAAGCCCATCCAGTGGTGCCAAAAAAGAAAGTTCTGGTAATCTTCTTCCATAAAGATTACAGCCAAGAAAACTCTATGGAGTAGTTCTACTCTATAACACGTGGGGTTGCCATGAATCAGAACTGACTCCACAGCAACGGGTTAATGGGTAGTTAGAATCCACCTACAGTTCCAAAGAGCCCCCTTGACCTCCCAACTCAACAAAACAAGGCAAAATAAACAGCACTCTGATAGGCTTAACTTCATTCTTATGGAGTAAATATTTCCGTTTCTATGCCAGTCATCTAAAATCCCAGAAAAGGACGTAAGGAACGACCAGTGTTGCAAATAGGCTTCTCTGCCAACAGAATCCTACACTCTGGATGAATCTAGTGCTACCAGTGACAATACCCTAAGATACATCATTGCAAGACAACAATGGAAGGACAGCACTTATATAGAAATAGCAATTAAGAGCAAATTTACTACTTTCTTCTTAATATATATCATAAAATATATCCCAAATCTGCACTTAATTGCCAAATACTGAAACAATGACATAAAATGCCAGGAAAAAATGCAAATAACGGAAGGAAAGTTCCTAAAGGCGTTAATGCAGTAACCAAGCTGGCTTGGTGAGGAACACTAACGTCCTAATATTTGTTACGTTCAAGTACCCAGTGGTCTAAAGTGCAGTTAAGGTTTGAAAAATAAGCTCAACAGCTGTGGTAGTTCCAGGTGCAGACGTCATGCAGAAGACCATTTAAAATATTAAAGGGGAGAAAGACAACACATATACACGCCCAGGTGTACTTGCAAACGCACACATGTACATGCCAGGCACAAAGAGTTCAGCAAGTCAGCAAAGCCTGAGCCTGCATGAGTCCTTCCCTGCTCCAGCCCCTACGTCGTCAGGGAACTCAGACTCCTTGGCCCATCCTCCCCTCACAGCTCCTGTTCCTGAGAGTTCCTTGCTCTGGGGTATGAGCAGGAACTTCCTCCATTAGCATTCACAGATAAGTCATCCTTGTGCGGCCCCTACTGACCTGGGATCTGACGTGGTCACCTGCCAGAACCACCAAAATGCCAACAGCCACGCTTCAGTGCTAGAGGCCAAAGGGGTACTAATTGAAATAGCTTTGGATCCCTCTCTCCCTCCTCCTCATTCTCCCCACCACTTTCCCTCTCTCAGTTTAAAGGATTCGCGCATCTGAAGACCTGAAGAGCTATTTTCCTTCTCCTGGAATTATGTAACCATCTACAGTTTTGGAATATACCAAAGTAATTTACTCTAAAATACCTTATCTCTGGGTTTGTCTCCCAGATAAAATGCAAGTCATGCTCAGCACCAAACAACTGAAGTTAAACTTGTGTGCACTGCGGTTAGTTTCTTCCTTACAGGACCATGCTTCATGTCTCCTCCAAGCCCACGTCAATCCAGACTGCTTTGTGAGGCCTTGCACTGCCTAGGTTTACTCAGTAAGTAGCCCCACAGCTCTTTTATACCTAAGATGGGAGAAAGTAGAATCAAAGAATGGGAGACACTTAGATCTTATTGTGAGATGAGACTGGTTCTGTCACTCCACAAGGTAAGCACCTCATTGCCACCAAAATTATTGATGGTATTACAGGTCATTCCACCATGTTGGTTTAACACTTTTGAGTTTTAAAGGTTTTCAACCTTAAAATCCATGCTGTCGAGTTGATTCCAACTCATGGAGACCTCATGTGCTGCAGAGTACAACTGCTCCATAGGGTTTTCTTGGCTGATCGCCAGGCCTTTCTCCCAGGGCATTGCTTGGTGGGTTCGACCACCAACCATTAGGTTAGCAGCCGATCGCAAACAGCTTGCATCACCCAGGGACCTTTTAACCTTAAAGATACCCTTAAAATAACAGTTTGTTCTAGGAGGAGCCACACTTTATGGCTTCATTAGATTACAAGTCAATATTTAATTAAGACCTAGAAAGGTCTGATACTGAGAAACAGAGGTCAAGAAACAAATCGTGCTCACTTCCTTTTTTTGGTTTTTTTTTCCTAGTTGTGGTC